ATGTATACATACATATATATATGTATTGAGCGTGTTTCGGAAGAAAGTTCACAGCTGGAATACATGTTGACTTGAAAGCATGAAGAACAACGACCAAGACATGGCATCACGACCGTCAGTCTTTGTACCTTTCAGACCCTGGCTGGACCACCGCCACGGGATCAATTGTGCGAATGCCACCTGTGCACTGGGCGATCTTTCTGCTGCCGCGAGGTCCGACCGGAAGGGCCTGCACCGAGCGCATACACCAGCAGGTGTGTGGCGCCTCGAGGGATGCGCACCTTGGCGTGCTTTCTGTACCTACCTGCAAGGAGAGCAGCTCGTGTGCAGCCAACGAGTTAAGGCGGGCTTTGTTCTGCTTTGGCCAGCTGGTCAAGAATGGCACGTTGGCAAGCGATCTTCGATCGCCTGCACCTTTGACGCAGCGAAGCCGGTCGCAGCGCGGATTCTGTAGAGATGTGCATTCGCTTACTCTTCTAGGAATTGCAATGGCTAGCACTGCAAGCTGTTCTGCAAAAGAAAATGGAATCAACACAACTCAGCACGAAAACGTCGTGGACTGAGTATGGTGTTTCTGCTTGGACGTGGCTTTGCCGTCCTTTAACTTTCCACGTGGCTAGGGCCAGTCGCCACCAGCACCGCTGAGCCAAAGCGATGGATGAGCCAGGCAATACAACCTGTCAACAAACAGTTGTTGGACCGCAATGAGTTGGGTTCCTGCCACAAAAATGACAATCAACACAGCAATGTAGGTGCTTGGTTCAAGTAGCCGAGGCTCTGCCACTGGCCGGGGCAAACACATGACAAACTTGTGCATCAGCACACCCCATCTTTACCAGTTTAAGGACGGTCGGAGCCTTCTGCAAGAGGCTTATCGTAGCCGTATAACAGCAGGGTCTGTTCGGGAAGATTGTGCATCTTGCCATTGTACCAGTACTGAACTTACTATGGCTAGTGAGTGGCCACCAGCAGATGAGCACGAACCGCCAGCCATCATACCAGAAATGCTCAGAAATCCATGAACGTAATCTGAGTCCCTCACCAAGACCCATCTTGTGGACCGTAAATCCTCTAAACCCTAAACCCTAGACAAGCAATTTCAAGGTTGCTTCGGGGTCCAGGCTCCAAAAGGAATTGCAGGTCCAAGATGCGGCAGCACGCGGCCGGAGTCTTCAACCGCCGCCAGTCGGCTCATCCTGAGATGCGGTTTAGGGTTTATGGGTTTAGGGTTTAGGGGTTTAGGGTTTGAGGGTTGAAGGTCTGCCAGGAGCTTTGCTGACTGCCGTTCCCTGAATCCCACTCTCCTCCTCCCTAAACCACTTTTGCTGCTGAGTCAGGCCCAAGATGCTCCGACGGCGCAATACGGACCAGGCACAGATAGAAAAGGGTCCTGAGCAGCTCAGAAGAGAGCTGGACGGCTGCTTAAGAGTTGGCACAAGGGGGTTTCCGAAAATAGGGGGTACCCTAATTTGGGGTCCTTATAATAAGGATCCCACTATTTAGGGTACTATATTGGAGTCCCCTATTTACCCTCTCTTCTAAGTCTTCGATCTTTTCCTTTTGTGCCTCGCACTTTTTCGGGTCGTCGAGGGTGAAAATCGGAATCTGGAGAACGTCTGACATTTCTTTGACGACACTGACTTGGAGGTGCAGCCATGCAAGGGCCAGCACCGCAACCGCAATCTGAAACATGGAGCCACCGGAGCCTAGGCCGCTCGCGAGCCAGCCGACGATCAAGGACCCGAGAATGAAGGGGCTCAATCCTGGGCTTTCGATAAGGGATTTAATTTAAGTTACCATGATAAGGAAACAGTATTATTTAGTATAGATCCCTAGTATGGTAACTTGAATTAAATCCCTTAACAAGAGAGCCCAGAATCGCCAAGGTCTGTAAGCCTCGCCACAAACATGAGCAAGCTGAAGGTGTGACCTTGCACAGGAAAGTCGCTCAAAGTCGTGCGCATTGTATCTAAGTAGCATGTCAACAAAAAAGAGGATAGATATGCCATGTTAGCCAAGCAGCACTAACATCAGAAACGTCAGCCCAAAGAACCAGAATATGCTTCTAGGATTTCCTCTTTCTTCCACCAGGGTGGGTGAGAGCAAGCAGAAAGCAAAGCCTGCAACATGGGCACAGAAGGGTCCGGTGAGGGCAAGGCTTGGAAGCAGCCTCTGTGGACCACCTAAGACCGCCTTTACATTGCCCAAGACGGTGCCCAGGACGCAGACCGCATAGAAGCAGATCATGGCCTGTGCCCGCGAGAGGCCAAAGGCAAAGGGGGAGCCCCATAACTCCTCTTGGCTCCCGTGGATGAAGGTGGCCAAGTAGGATGCGCACACGATAAGTACACCGTCCGTGGGACCGTTGAACACCCCCAGATACAGAGTTCCGGTAAAGTATTCCTCCCAGGTAGCAAAGAAGAACGGAGTTGTGCTCGCAGCCCACACTCCAAAGCACTCCCAGTTTTTGCCGTCGCCCAACTGCAGCATTGCCATGATGTTCAAAGACGACAGCACGATGTTAAGAGCATCTGCACCGTGGTCCAGGAAAAGACCCAACGGCGATGAGCTGCCTGTCCTCCTCGCCTGCTTCCCGTCCATGTTGTCCAAGGTTTGGTAAACAAAGGTGCAGATAGCTTCAACCAACCAAACCCAGCTGGGGCAGGAGTTGCGGAAGCCGGGTGAGTACAGATGCACCAGCGCATGCCCCAAGCACGAAATCAAGAGTCCAGCTAGTGTGATCAGGTTGGGTGCTAACCAGAGGGGAACGCATCGATCGACCAGCAGCTGGGCCAGTGGAGAGCAGAAATACACATACAAGTAGGAGTTATCGCTTCCCGAATAGCGGAACTTGGGCAGCTGTCTGCGGCCCCTCTCCGAGATGTAGTTCCAAGAGCTTGGCATCTTGGCCACCAAGTAGCAAGGGAAATTCGCACTTCCCTGTGGAAAGCTAGTTCTCAGCGCATGGCGGCTCTAGAAACTAATTAAAGACTTTCATGAGCTTTCAGTATTACAAACGTTGAAAAAGCGCATTCACACTCAACAGGTTTGTTCTCGGACCCAAGATGTGAGCTCCTGCGGAGGACTCGAGAGATAACGCCGCCGAAGCAGACAACAGCACCGGAAGTTGATGCTTTCCGCAAGCCCCGAACCCCCAAGCTCCTACTATCCCTATCCCAGGCCAGGTGCCCTAAAGCCTACCTGTAACCGAAAAGACCTATCTTTTTAGGGTTCCTTATTATGGTTTCTATACATAATTTCTCAAAAAGGTAGGTCTTTTCGGTTACAGGTAAACCCTAATGCAGGCCAGCTGCCATTCAGCCCCTTTGCCAAAGGTTTGAAGCGGTTGCGCGGCCAGCCGCCACGGCAACTCGCCCCCCAGCATCCTCCCAGTGGGTCGCAAGTCGCCTCAAAGCTGTAGCTAGGATAAGTATAGTATCGCAAAATAAAGTACAGTACAGTATAGTATGCATATTTTGCGCGCATGTAGTTTCCAACGTATTGCATATTGTGCATAGTGCATTGTATCCTGTGTGTGTATATACATATATATGTCATAGTGCGTGTCTTATGGTATGGTATAGGTTGTGTAACATCGTATCCTATGGTATCGCATAGTATTGTACAGTATCGCACAACATGGAATAGCAAACTATCGTAAAGCATACCACAGATTAGCACAGTATAGTGTCGCATCGTCAAGTATCGTGCAGATAGTAGCAAGCTTCACAGTTGGACCGGAATCATGTCATGGCAGGGCCTTCCAGCAAGCTGGCCTGATCCAAATCCGAGGGATCCCCATGCCAGGCCAGCACTTCGTGGCGACCCTCCATGCCGCTCTGGCCGGCGTACTGCTGTAGGAGACCTCTCTGCATCTACCCATAGGCCCCTGAGTAGTTTCTTTTTGTGGTTGATATTTAGAATCCTATAAGGTAATCCCAAAAAGGAACTACTTAGGAGCCCATGGGTAGTCTCACTGAGCCTCTCAAGACCTGGACCATGACACCAGTCCTGTGCAAGCCGCGCCTGGACTGCGAACTCGCCAAACGTAGAACTCGGACTCCAACATCTCAGACCTCGTGCGTGAGGCAGAACAAAGCCGACAAAGCATTCAGCGTGCCTGAAAGCTTGCATCGAAACTTGCGCCGGAAATACCCATCCCGTACGCTTCTGAAATCTGCAGCTTTCCGCGAATCTGCTGTGAGGCCAATGAGACAAGAGACTGCTCTGCAGCAATAGTGCGATAGTGCGCCTCTGATGTGAACGTCGCCTGCGACTCGTGCATCAGAGCTTCAATCCTTCGGCAAGTCGAAACATCAAGGAGGCACTCGCACACAGCAGAGCGGCATTTGCATAACATTCAACCCTGACCCTAAACCCCAAAGCCTAAACTAAAACCCCAAAGCCTAAACTTAAACCCTGAACCCTAAACCCTGAACCCAAAACCCTGAAATAGCCGGGCGACTCCGAGTTGTGTCTTTCGTAGTAGGTTGCATAGAGCTGCCGCAACCAACGAGCTTCCTGATGCCCTGGGACCTTAGTGCATGTCATACCAAGTCCCACAGGGGAGATACCCGTGTATACATGCAGTACATCTATCAGTGTAAACATATGAAAACCCAAATACATACATACATATATATATATATGTATATGTATGTATGTATGTATGTATGTATGTATGTACGTAAGTACGTATGTACGTATGTATTTATGTATGTATGTACGTATGTGGGTATGTATGTATGTATGTACGTACGTATGCATGTACGCATGTATGCATTTTCATGTGTAGTATATGTACAGAACGCGTCCACATGTAATGCTTATTCTACATACATTCATACATTTATACATTCATACGTACATACATACATACATGCATACATACATACATGCATACATGCATACATGCATATATATATATATATATCGATCGCTAGATAGGTTGATAGGTGGATAGACAGATCGATAGATGGATATGCGATGCGGGCACAGGTTGTGTATCCCGATAGGACCATTAAGAAGAGGGGCCAGGAGTTCCAGGTCGTTGGTTTCTGGAGCCAGGCCGATGAGGTTGGACTGAACCAGAGTCACGATCCTCAGCGAAGACACCGAATCAAATTTGTGCCAGCTCTTGGAGTCAATGACAGCACTCTCGAACAGTTTAGGGTTTAGGGTTTTGGGGTGTAGGGCTGGATAAGCACAGCTTTGTCAGGCACGTTTGCGGCAGATTAAGAATACTATGGCCAGCTGGCAAAGAAGCCGGTCGTAACATCCTATCTTATGCGCTGAAGGTCGCTTGTGCTTCGGCACCGAGAACTCGGCCACAGGCTTTGCCTGCCAGCTAGGTGAAGAAAAGGCGGTTCAGGGACTTCGGGTTTTCGGGGCTAGTGGCTTTGGGTTTTATGAACCCTTGAGGCCCTACATCCTAAGCCCCTAGACCTCTGAAGTTGTAACATCTTAAAAACCCTAAACCCGAAAAAGCTCCACTGACTTCTGTAATACTTCTTAAAACCCTAAACCCGAAAAAGCTCCGCACTTGGGTGCCTGGGAGCCATCGGAGCAGCTGAGGGCTCACCTCGCCATGCTGGCGCTCCCAAAGTCTGCAGAAGCTGGCCAGGCTCAGCCCTTGGCGGGGTTTAGGGCTTTGGGGGTTTAGGAGTTTCAGACTTTAGGGGTTTAGGGCTTTAGGAGTGTAGGGTTTAGGGGTTTGGGGGTTTAGGGATTTAGGGTTAAGGGTTCATAGCCAGCAAGAGAAGATATGGGTAGTTTTCAATAGTAGGGCCACCCTTGTAGAAAAGGATCCCAGAAGGGACCCTAATTTAGAGAACTACCCATATCCTCGGAACGATGAGTACCTTTAGGGTTTTTTATTTTTGTCGCCCCCTTTTCCCTCGGCCTGTGAAGGTCTCAAGAATGCCAGTCTGGCTGAGGCATGATGCGGGAGGCTCTGTTACCAACCGAAATCACACTACAGCAAAATACCCAATGCATACCTTTAGGGTTTAGAGTTTAGGGTTTAGGGCCATTGCGGCAGGTCATACTGTTCATGATATACATCCATTACCTTAAGGACCCTAAACCATGGGAACTATGGGATATTCCTTATAATGGGTATTGCAGGATTTATACCATCAACCGCAGCCACCAACAGAAGATACCCTCGGAAAAATTAGTACCATTGCCATCCGAAGTCATGCTGCCTGTCTTGTTTTTCACGGTCATGATTAATTAAGTCTATAGAGTTTTGCCAAGGCGTGCAGATTTGGGTAGTTTTCTAAATGAGGGCACCTTTTTAGGTCCCCAATATAGTACGGCACCCTAATAAAGGACCCTATTTTAGAACCCTACCCATTTAACAGACGGGTCGCCTCCACGATGGAGCTCGAAGAGCTGGAACCTGGGTTCGTGTTAAAGGATTTAATTTAAGTTACCATAATTATAGGGATCTATAGTAAATAATATGGTTTCCTTACAATGGTAATTTAAAGTAAATCCCTTAACAAGAGCCAAGGAACGCATGGCTGAGGACTGAAGCGCTGCACTCGGGCTCGAAGGACATAAGCAAGCCGGCGAAGTCGGTCAAAGTTATCACCTCCAGGGCAAGTTTTGCATCATGAAAAGGTCATACTGTTGATGATACAAAGCTTTACCCTAAGGACCTTAAACTATGGCAATTATGGTATATACCTTATTATGGGTAATGCAGGATTTATATCATCAACCGTATCATGCGCACAGCAGCAATGGCTCACGAGAACCCTTAGCTTCCCACTCCATCGTGGTCGAAATCCAGGTAAGAGAACAGCTCGGCCGTTGTGAGCCCAATGCTTTTCCTGAGCTGACATGTGCCAAAGGACAAGAACAACTTGATGCATGGCTGTCGACAGTTCTGTATGCTTCCATGATCACCAAAGCCTCCATTTGCTAGCATCAGCAGTCCCTGCTTATCTGCTCGGAAAGAACACATTTGCCCCTGCGCTTCTAGATCCAAGACCTCCGTGGTAATTCTTTGGCTGAACAGAGCCGGCATATGGATTGAACCTTGACTAGGAAGTAGGGGCTTGTCTTGCATACATGGTTTGTGTGTGTCTCTGTGTGTGTGTGTGCGTGCGCGTGCGCGTGCGTGTTTCGAGCGTCTCTACCACCGCAAAGCTCGACAATGTTGAATCTCGGGCCCCTTCGATGTCAAACGAGGGTCATTGAATCTCGTATGCGACGCAATATAGTGTCAGCCTTCATCTCGACGGTAGTTTCGGCCCCCTGGGCATTCTCGGGCACCTTGGCCCGCCTCGTCATCTCAGCACGACGGTGCTATGGGCGCATGACATCATGAACGGCGACGGATCTGCTACGGCTGCGGAAAGCCGGGTGTGGATACACAGCGACCTCGTCAGTGCCAAACTGCAGCGTAAACTCCCTGACTCCTCTAAGGCGACTGCGCCTGCATCCGAAGAGTGGCTGCTCCTGACCTCCCGTGCCGACACAGCAACGGATGCGCAACATGTCTCGTTCTAACTCTGCTGGAATAGCTACCTCCATCGCGATCTCATCCTCATCAGCCGCAGCTTTGGCCTGAGGTGTCAGTGAGAACAATGCGAAGTGCAGCATAGCATGGCTGACAGTATGTGCTGACACAGTGGCTATAAGTGAAGAGTTGTCATCGCCTACAAGCCACCATCCCTGTTGCTGACCTCAGCACATGATGTCAACGCCTTCCATGTTGCCACAAGACGCCCAAGAAGAGTCAAGAAGGTCTTCTAAGTGCTGCGGCGGCCCCATCGCAGCTCGAAAGACAGGGCGGGAGCTGCTGTCCCCGCCATCTGCCGCGCACCGACCCGAAATCGCTCTGCTCTGACATAGCCTACACACGCAGTCTGCAGCCTTGGCAGCGATTCGCATCAGTTTTGCGGAGCCCAGAAGAGACATCTCAGCCGCGGCCACGAGGGAGTTCTGAGCCGAAGCGGAGATACAGCTGAGCCCCGAACCGGTTGAGGATCGACGTCCTCCAACAAGCAATGTCAAAGAACCCCAAGAATCATGACAGCCTACCAGCCCCTAAACCCTAAACCCCAAGGCCTCAAAGGCCAGAGACATCTCTTCGACCACTGGTCGCCAGCGGTCCATCCTAGTCGCAGACCAACTGAGGCAGCCTTCTTTCGGGGCTTTCGGGGCTTTTGAAGTGCTGGGCCCCGCGCACACTTGCAGCTGCAGCCTCCGGCGAGGACTCTTCAGCCCCACAACCCCTAAAATGAGCCCCAAACCCTTCTGTACACCCGGAAAAACATCAACCCCTCCCACTCCAAACCAAAGCCCTGGTGCCATTTCAACCACTCTAGGGTTTAGGGTTTAGGGACCAAAGCCTTGTGCCATTTCAACCACTCTCTAGGGTTTAGGGTTTAGGGACCAAAGCCTTGTGCCATTTCAACCGCTCTCTAGGGTTTAGGGTTTAGGGACCAAAGCCTTGTGCCGTTTCAACCGCTCTCTAGGGTTTAGGGTTTAGGGACCAAAACATCAACTCCTACACTAAACCCTAAACCCTAAACCCTACACTTGAACCCAACCCTTGTGCCATTTCGACCCTTCTGTGCTCGGCGCCGGTATGCCAGAGGAGCAGAGGCCGCCTCTCAGTTCCTTCCGAGCCACAATTAGGGGATTCGGGCAGTTTAGGGGTTTAGGGGATTAGGGTTTAGGGGTTTAGGGTTTAGGGCAGTTTAGGGGTTAGGGTTTAGGGGTTTAGGGGTTTAGGGCAGTTTAGGGTTTAGGGATTTAGGGTCTAGGAGTTTAGGGCAGTTTAGGGGTTTAGGGTTCGGGGGTCTCCCCGTTTAAAAACACTCAGGCTTAACATTGACGGCCTAGACGGGCTTAAGGGCTTTATGGGTCCTTGCAGACTGGAACACCTGCGATGTGCTCCAATGCTGCCAGCTGGTTCTTGCCTTCCACCCGATTTCGGAGGGGGGGCTTTAAACTCTAACGTTTCTCTAGGTTATAAGGGCTTATGGCGGCTTTAGGGGGCCTTTTAGGGGTTAGCCCAAAACCATAAACCCCCAAAACCCTAAACTGTAAACCCCAAACACCTAAACCCTAAACCCCAAAACCCTAAATCCTGTTTTTTTGTTTGGGGGGCTTTTGCGTTTTTCTGCCCGTCTGGCAGAGAACTCCGCCTCTTCCGCCGGGACCGTGGGCAAAGCAACCTGGCATGCGAGGCGACGCGTCTACTCCAAGGGCAGAAGGAGGGACCCTTAATGGGGATCCCGACCCTGCAATGGGCTATATACTGGGTATAGAAGAGCTATATTCAGCTTTTCGGCCTAGGGGTTTCTTCTTAAGGGTCCCTCCTTTTATCCTTGGATCTACGTAGAGAAGAACCCGAAACCCTAAGGGCTATAGGCTCTAGGGACTCCTGTCCTCAGGCTTTTGGGCCCAAAGACCATACTATTTGGGGCAAATTTGGGCTATGTTGAGCCTTGTAGGGTAAAGGCTGTAAACCCCTAAGCCCTGTAAACCCCAAGCCTTGAACTCCAAACCGTATAGACCCTAAACCCTAAGTACAAGCCCTAAACCTTAAACCCTCAAGCCTACAAGCCCTGAAGCCCTAAACCAGGTCGGCCGACCAGGACGAGATGGCGGGCATCTGCCGGCAAGTAGGTTCCATTCCTGACAGCTCAGCCAGAAGACTATGGTGAAAGACGGTTGATGATATAAATCCTGCATTACCTATAATAAGGAATATATACCATAATTCCCATAGTTTACGGTCCTTAAGGTACTGCAGGATTTGTATCATCAACAGTATGGGTACCAACCCTAGATAGTCTGGAAAGTTCAAAGAACCTCAGCCCAAACAGGCACGTAGTGGGCACTGCGGCGAAACTTTTTCGCGCAAACTCATCTGATGCTTGAGGCGGTCACAAGCAGTGCATGATAAAGCGGGCTTCTGTGCCCACACTCTTTTGAATCTAAATCATCACATAGAATAGTAGAGCATAGTATTTTATAGTAACATTGTAAAATAGATTAGAGTAGAAGACATAAAACTGAAACCGGACCCGCAACACGAACGCTCTGGGCCCTCCGACGGGACCTGCAGTTGTGGCCAGGGGTCCGAATCTTGCACTTCCCACCTGAGACATGGGCTTAGGGTTAGGGTTTAGGGATGTAGGGTTTAGGGATTTAGGGATTTAGGGTTTAGGGTTTGAGACATGGGCCACATGACAAGCATTTGCAGACGCATCCTGTGGAAGAAGCAGGATGGTCATGGTGGGGTCTAAACGACAGCAGCTGCGTTCCGCTGGCAAAGTTCCCGGCGCTACGAGCTGGGTGTCCGAAGGACGCATCAGCTTCCAAGTTGCCTCAGACACAACGAACCTCCACAAGTTTAGGGGTTTAGGGTTTAGGGTTTAAGGGTTTAGGGTTTAGGGTTTTAGGGTTTAGGGTTGCTCCGTTTGAGCACTCCCTTAGTTCTGCCCGTCCTCCGTAGGATCGAGTGGTCTCGCCCAGCAGAGCGCAAATGCCTGCCGGTGACAGCACAGTTCGGGTCGTCGTGGCACTCAGCAAGGCCAGGAGTCAAGTTTGGGGGTTGGCTGTGCATCTGCCAGACTACCGCAGCTGTCTGTGCTGCATAATCATCCTGGGCTGTGATCAGATGGCCGGGCAGAGAAGCAGAGCGAAGCATCGGCCCGATCATTGAAGAGTTTGCTCCGTCGCTGCCTCTGCCGCAAGCAGCTCTGGCCGATGCATCCACCGGAAGAGGCCACCAAGCTTCTCAGGCTGCAGGTCCTGCGCATCGCAGGAGGGCACCAGTCCAATGAACCCAGAACCCCCAACCTAAACCCTAAACCCTTTGCTTGCAGAGATCAAGCTGAAAGTCTTCCGAATCTGGGCTTCGTCCTCGTCAAGGAAAGCTCCCCCCAACGAGTCTCCTGAGGAAGCCGCCTCAACAGCACTGCATGCTTACCTGTCTGCGTAGTTACAGAATTTAATAGTGTGATGGCGGCAGTCCCGCAAGGCATGCAAGGGCAGCTAGATAAGACTGACATATTAAACTATATCTACAATGTTCTCTTGCGTTATCTTAGAATGTATCATAATTTCTTATACGGTCTTCTTATACTATCCCATATTACCAGGCATGATCTTGTCTTACCTGACTTGATCCCATATTTCCTTATCTGGCCTCCAGCTGCGCTGCCAGTGACGCCCCACAGCGACTCCCTCGAGCTTGGCCGAGGCCCTGCGCCACGATGTGCTACGGACTCGCACTGGGATCAGTATCCATTCCTTCCGGAGAAATCCCGTCTGGGTTCAGTGGTATTTTTTCAAACAACATAGCACAACAGAACACAACAAATAACAGTGTTATACGGCACGCTAGAATAGGATATAACAGAATATAACATCACACACACACACATCTATATTTATATATATATATATACACACATTGATACTGACATGAGATGAGGCATGATGTCGAGCCTGGCAGCCGCTGCAGGAAGATGCGCAGGAATCGCTTGCCGGGCAGTAGAGGCCTTTCCAGGGTTCACTAATGGTTTAGGGTTTAGGGTGGGTTTAGGGTTTAGGGGTTAGTTTACGGCTTTGAGAATAGAGGCCTCTGTGTTTTTCCGGCAACGAGGAACTGTGGTTGCTGGGTCAGGCACTCTGCACGCAAGAGAATGCAAAGAAGCCGGCAGCTTTCGGAAAGACTGACGAGATTCACCGTAATTCATTCAGATTCATTGTATTTAATAAGTTCTAGCCTATTAACACTCAGCTTTTGTTGAGTTCTAGCATATTAAAACTCGGTTTTTGTTGAGCCGACATAGGTTGCCCTGGGACTCTCTGCTGACCTCGTACGTATACCTTTTTGGAGTCGACTGGCTACACTTCGGAGCGGGGAGGCTCGCAAAGATGACCCCCAAATCAATCATCCTTTTGTTCAGGGTTTAGGGGTTTGGGTTTAGGGTTTTAGGGTTTAGGGTCTAGGGTTGATCCTAAACTTTTGTCCTAAACCCTAAATAAACCCCCTACTGCAAACCCTGATCTCACCCCTGAGGTTCAGGCTGCCACCGCGCAGGCAAGTCAACGTGCTCTCGCTGAGCATGGGGCCGCTGAACCTTGATATGGTTTAGGGTTTAGGGTTTAGGGTTTATAAGGTAATAACAACAATACTAATAACAACAATAATAGTAGCAATGATAACAGCAACAATCATAATAATATGATTTTTATTGATAGGGCTACTCCGTGACAGTGGAGGGCGAGGAGTGGATGTGGCCCTCTGGTATATTGTATATCATAAGGTATATATTCTATAGCTCATAATGTAGTGTATTGTATAGTATAGTATAGTATAGTATAGTATACGATACGTCGTTTCGACTTCCGTCAGCGCGGCCGAGGCAAGAGCTGCATCTCCTTCTCGAGCACCGCCATCTGAGCCCAGGTGTTCCATGCAACAACGCCCCCAGCTGCACAGTGAGGGTCCGCAGCTACAAGACCGCCGACGGTTGCTCTTGTTTTCTACCCTCGCATGTCGGCTCTGATAAAATAGCCTGTTGCATCCTGTCGCCACAAGGAACGAAATGGAGAACGCCAGCATCGGTGACAAAGGCCCCACCCGAGCATGGTTAACATTAGCTAGAACACGAAGCTTGGCAACGTCTTTTTTGGCTAGATGCTACTGTCAAGGTGTTGCTTCCCCAGGCTGTCGGAGCGCAAGCCAAAAGTCCAACATTCCAAACCGAACCCCTCCTCCCTCATGCTAAACACCAGACCCGAAAACCCTAATTACAGTTCAATCCCTCACCCGAAATCCTTGCCTAAACCCCCAAAAGTAGGTAAAATAATGGCCCAAAACCCATCAAAGGCTATTATTCTACATACTTTTGGGGTCCAGGTACTCCCGAAAATCCAGATCGCCTCGGCTCCAGCTTCTTCGGCAAGGCGCGGCCTGAGCAGAGAGATCCAAGGCTGCAGGCGTTGAGAGGTGTTGCAGGGGCTTCAGTCTTACAGGGGTTCCATGGATCTATGAGGCTTCATGAGCGTCCTGCAGGGTCTAGGGCTTTTGGTGCTTTGTGTCTTTAGGATGTAGGCTTTTGGATTTAGGCTGTGTAAAGGATTCAGGGTTTTGTGTTGCCGGGTTGTTATGTCATTCCTATTAATTGATTGTCGTGATGATTATGATGCTTAGTATTAGCAATAGTCTTTGTGTTCGAATTAGTGTGAGTATCAATATTAGAACTGTTACTATTATTCTAAACCCCCAACCCTAAACCCCCAAAGCCCTAAACCCTAAATATGACTTCAGGAGGCCTTTAAAGGGTTATGGTACTACTAGTAAGGTGATCTCTTGAGGTGGGGAGAGAGGATTCATTTCGTAGCTCCCAGGATTCCCTCAAGTCTCTAAACCCCAAACCCTAGCAAGTCCCACATACAGGTATGTATGTGTATAGATATATAATGTGTATATATATAACGTACATATATATATAACATACATGCATCATATATCATATACATATATATATACACTTCAATATTGCTATGTAGCTCTTTATCTAGATTCGTATGTACATATGATTGTCATCATCGTTACTGCTTGTTTATTCGTAAACATGTATATATATATATTATATTTATATATATATATATAATTAATATATAATTATATATAATTATATATAATTATATATATATATGTATATGTATATGCATGTATATATCTTCGCGTAACATGTCCGTCTGTCCCACTTTGTGCAAGTGAAGCAGCCAGGCATAGTCTGGCGAGGGCCAGCGCTTCCGCATCTCGAGAGGATTTGGTTTTTCGGGTGCCAACTTTTGAATTAGGGGCTAAAGGTGCAAAGGGTATCTGGGGCTTGTTGATTGTGAAGGCGGGTCAGTTCTTCTTGCCAATGATCGCATGTATCATATATCTTTTCTTCCGAGTTATCCTTTCAAAGGATCATGGTCCCAAAACGGCCTGTTGCTGTCCCTCAGGGTACTCGATTTGAAGATGGAAGCTTCAGAGAGCATGGGACCCTAAGGACCCAATAATCAGGGACCTCTACATGTCCCTGAATAAGGTAGTTTCAAGAATCCCCTCAGAATGCTGTCGAAGTTCGTGAATGTGAAGCTCTGGAATCTCTGCGCCACGGCTCATCTGCATGCTGCCTCGCCTCAGAATGCGGTGAGAGCGAATGCAAGATGCCTGATACCCTAAACCCTAAACCGAGGTGGCCCTAGCGAGCTTCTCCTGGTTGCTCCGGCAAGTCACGCTTTGCGAAACTCGACAGTCCAGCCTGCAAACAAACAGTCAACCACTTCTACTGCGACTGGTCTCATGAACATAATCTCCTTATGCTGATGCTTTTCCCTCTGTCTCCTCCTCCGCCTCCTCCTCTCATCGTGACATCCTCATCACTTTGGTCCTCCTCACTGTCTCGCAGTTGCTAGTCATCGTCTGCATCTGTATCTTCTTCCGTGCATCATCTTTGCTCTCATCATCGTCACGATTGCTATGCCAACTGTGACCACCATCACCATCTTTAGCTTCTTCTTCTTCACCATCATAATTACCATAATTATCACCACCATCAGTGTTGGCATCAACAACATCACCATCGTCATCACCACCAGCAGCATCGATATCATCAGCAGAATCATCACCGTCATCATCAACAACAGGGCAACCACCAAGCAACGTCAACCAGGCAAGTCCACCATCAACCAACATCTTCATCATCGACAGTATCACCTTCCATCATACCTGTCATCACCAATCACCATCAGTATGCGGAGCAGCAGCAACAGCAGCAGCGACAATCAATTTTTGTCATTCTGGTCCCGATCCTGTCCGTCATGCGCGTCTTCCTTCTCACTACAGTATCATCGGGCTCATTAGCAACCGCGCGAGCGTCGCCCCCTACCACAGAACAGGCGGGAGCGCTGCATGTAGCGGCTCCTGATGCATGAGGGATCGTCTCATCGAAAAGGTTCAGGTCCAGCGTAAATCGCTTTCTGCTGTTCTGCACCTCCAGCTGCAATGTGTTCGCTGAGTGCTCAAAGGTAGGAAACAAACGGCTGATTGCCGTCGCACTTGACAACAAACACACACACACACCCTTAATGGTTGGGTCCGACTCTCGAGCATCCGGAGAATTGACTGTGCTGGCATCTTCACTGCTGTCGTTTGCGAGTCTCCAGCACCCTAGTTTTGTCAATCAAGCTGCGTGTGTGAGAGTGCGTAGTCATGTAGTCTACATACCAGATAGCTGCGCACACATGCTTGCGTTTGTTCATCCATGCACTTCTAACTCTGAACCCCCTCTGACGGCCTTCGCAAGGATCTCAGCCTCCACTCGAGATGCAGTAATGTTTACTCGGAGTAGACGCCGAACTGACTCGGCTGTGCGGTCCTGACAGAGCAGCTTTGCGCATGGACGCATGTCATGTCGGCTCTAATAGAGAGATGACATGAGATGACCAAAGACCTCGACCACTCGTAACCTGGGATCAATGACTCGAAATTAGGTTCCGTCCTTGTTGACATGACCTTGGCCCTTCTCCGTGGAGTACACTGCTAGGTTTGCTCCGGGTGCCTGGCAGCCAATCTTGCAGTTGGTGCTCAGTAAACTGGGCATACCGACGGGCCACTGTTCAGGCCTCCCACTTCTGTGAGAAGCGAGCTGATATCATCACAGCCTAAGATCAAAGGCTCAGAGGTCACCGGTGGACGTCCCCTTACATGGTGCTCGGTGCCCTGCAGACGAGTTTTGAACCTCAGGAATGGCAGCAAGGAATCTGTTGAAGCCCCGCACTTCGCCACTTTTGATGATAAAAATCCTGCATGACCTTAAAGGCCCTAAATTATGGGAATTATGGTATATTCCTTATTATGGGTAATGCAGGATTTATATCATCAACCGTATGTCGGAAACCTCAGTGCTCGGCCCACTGAATCGCCATAGGCGTCGAGGCCGGGTGGGCATAGGAAGGGTCCAGCCACCGCACCAGCTCCTGGCAACAAGCAGCATCCTCAGGCGCATGGCAGGTCCTGGTGGCTGGCGGGCCTCAGCCTCTTGCTTCAGTTCAGAGACCTGAATGAGATTCAAAATGTGCGCATATTCTTCGTGCAACAGCTTCAGATGCTTCAGGCTGTGAGACACAGGAGGATGTGGGCAGCTTTTCCACGTGGCATCTCATGTGCACTCCCACTCAGCGTCTAAACTGAGCCCTTCTAAACCTCCGCCCGAGCCAATCGTGCGGAGCACGGTCTCGTGGAGGGCAGGGAGCTTTGCATGTGGAGGACGGAACCGTAGCGAAGGGCGAAGGGCTTTGCCTCGCCAGCTTCTCTGGGGCCTTGCGCAGGACGTGCCCTTCGCTGGCATCGCGGCGCCTTCCTCTAGTCGACGTCTTCCGAGGGCCCATCCACGCCAGGAAAACGGACCTCCAGCCACGGCCAAGCTTGCCTGGACGAGGGCACCAAGGGCAACCCTTTAGAATCTGCTAAGCCTGTTTTGTTGTGTGAGCAAAGTACGACTATGAAGATCCTACCTATGGTGTGAGAGAGAGAGAGAGTGTGTGTGTGTGTGTGCATGTATTGTGTATGTATACATATGCATGCATATAGGATATGATATGACTTGTTTTGTTATGCTATGTTATGCTGTGCTATGTTATGCTGTGCCATGTTATGCTGTGATATGATATGATATGATATGAGATGAGATGAGATGAGATGAGATGATAGTGCTGATCATAATAGCAATAGTGCCTAGACTACTCGCTCTATATGTATATATGCACTTTCACGACCGGTGCGGAGCCCTCCCCAGGGCTCGCGGAGCTCTGCCCCTGGTCCGCAGACGGGGCTGGGTGCCATAACGACCCACGGAAAGCCTTCCCTGTGCACCCTGTCTGCAGATACCGGGTGCAACCCAGAAAGAGTGTTCCGGCCCACCCGTTGCGAAAAGTGACCGGGGCGGCACATTCATCGCACACGAGGCCTTTCGGTGTATAGTCCGCCTTCGCCACTTTGCCCAAGGTCACATACGTCCACTGGTTTGCCACCGCCAAGACTGCCTCGACCGCCCGGGCCAACTCGAAAGCCTAGGCGTCGGCTTCAAACATGTCCATTCTCGGTGCGTGATTTTGTACGTATGTATGTATGTATGTATGTATGTATAGAGGGAGAGAGAGACATATGTATGTGTGCATGCATATATATATATGTACCAACATGTGTATATATACACATCCACATATGACATATGTATGGTATACATGTATGATCAAGCAGACACAGGAAGGCCCTACCTGTACTGGCCCAGAATCTCTTGGATCTCGAACACGGTCTCCATCTGAGGAAAGGTTGGACGCGACACGAAAGCGTCACCTTGCATCCGAGACAAACACACCACAGAGAGAGAGAGAGAAGAGATTGTAAGAAGATGCATTTATGTATAATTACATTGCCAGACATACGAAAAGAACATCACAGAAAAAAGACAACCTTGCCGAAGCCAGCGGAAGAGTTACAGTTCTTCTTGTAGGGAAGGAATCGGAGCCTCGCGAGGTCCCGGGGCAAGCGCCTCTGTTGCAGGCGCTCCAGCAATGCCCTGGCGGTCTCAGCCGCTGTCACGGAGTAGGAGGGCACAGGAACGTCCAGCTGCACTAAGGCAGCCATCGGAGGGCCTCGGACAAGGACTCTCTGACTAAACTTTGATCCATCCATCGTGGGCAGTCCTCTAAATTAGGGTCCCTTTTTAGGTCCCCAATAAAGTACGGCACCCTTATGAAAGCGGCCCTAAAAAGGGACCCTAATTTAGAAAACTACCCATGTACGAGCCATGAGGGCCCTGGCTTCTGGTGAGACTGCCCTCAGGTCGGGGCTCTGCAAGAGATCTGCCAAGGGCTGAACCCACTGACTCCAGTGCCGGTCTTGCGGCTCATCGGAGCTGGGGGAAACCTCCAGAGGCCACAAAAAATGAAGCCCCAAGATAAGTCACATAGCCCCTAAGCCCTAAACCCTCACATGCTTTACTGTTAGGTTGTTTCTTTTGGCAGATCAAAGGCTGCCTGCAGATGCTGAACGTGGACGCCAGTTGGGCATGGGGACGTGAAAGTGCCCAGGAGCATGTCAAAGTTCAAGTGCGGGCTGTCCACAATCTGGACAAAACGCAAGGCCTCTCAGAGTGCGGGGAGAGAGAATCCGGCCCCAAACTCTCACCAAGCCCTTCATGGCGCGCCAAGTGGCAGCCAAAGGACCAGCGGTAAACAGCGATGAGAAACCCACCACTTCTGTGGAATGGAGCACCTGCAGGAAGCTGGCATACGGCTCAGGGTCCCGAAAAAAGAGGCCGGCGACCTGCCCTAAACCCGACAAGAAAAGCAGGCTTTGATCTTGATCCGAGGAGGGCCCCTCAACATGATCTTCGTCATCTCGGTGCTCCTTGCCATCATCAGATTTTTCTTCCGCCTGCTTCTCACCACCATCATCACCAATCCCATCTTCATGTGATGAAGCATTTTCGAAAGAGGCAGGCCGAGCAAGCACTGGCACATGGCACATGGGTCGACGGGACTTGAAACTGAGCAGCCCGCCAATGCAGAAAGACTCTCCACACTCCGCAGACACTCTGCCGGCAGCGGCCGATCCAGGCGTGTAAGGATTTTGACCTCATTTTTTGCGAGGATTGAGAACGTCAGGAGGCTCCATAATCATGATGTCTTCGCCTCGTTCAGCTTTGCCGCCCTCTTCAGCAATCGGATAAGGAGCGTTGCCTTGGCTCTCTCCCGTGTCCACAGGTGCACTCCGCTCACCATGAGTCGTGCCAGCTAGGCCGAGATGCCGAGACGAAGCGAGCATTCTTGACCATGATGCGGGTTAGGCTATTGAACTCGGAAGGGCACTCGCTGAGGATGGCCTCCAGAAAGGCACTGGCCGCCTCACCGTGGTCCTTCACAGCAACCTCGGCTTGAGAGAACAAAACGCCTAAGAAAAGTCCAACGCCAAGAGACGCCGAGGGGCCATGTAGATGAAGGAAGGGTGCACCAGGCGCGCTAGCCGCTTTGCAGCCACTGGACCGCCCCGAAGCGCGCGGTCGTCGATTACCGGAATTACCCGGCGCCCTGATCTCCAGGAGGCTAGACAGCTGATGCCGCACAGCCAAGGATCGACTCACTCCAGAAAGAGATCTGCCTTCTGTGGTGCAGAACGCCTTGAAGCTTCGACACACCTTGCTGAACTGCAGATTGTTGAGCTCGGCAGCCACATGATGCATGCTAACAAGCCTGTGGCAGCTCTAAGAGCTGCAACAGGGTAGTTCTCTGAAGTAGGGTCCCTTTTAGGGTCCTTTTTATAAGGGTGCCGTGCTATATTGGGGACCTAAAAAGGGACCCCAATTTAGAGAACTACCCAGCAGTATCGGGCCAAGAGTCGTTTGGCAACCGAACTGTCTCCTTCACGAGAAGACACTCGAAGATCTTCTGGCCTCGGAAGGGCTTTGGAATACTTTGGAAAGTCACTCAACAGGATCCATGAACGGGACGAGGTCCACCAAGCCCAAGCGGCGAATGTAGATCGGAAGGTCCGTTCGAAAGACCTCAGGCTGCGGTTTGTAAGTGCCCGCCGCAAGGTCAAGTCCAGGCACGCTTGGATCTCACCTAGGGACAATAAAGGGACCCGGGATGCTGTTTCTAGTCACTCTCACCTAGGGGCTATGAAGGGCCATTAGGGGCCATAAAGGGATGCTGTTTCGAGCTACAAGTTACTACGGTTGATGATCTAAATCCTGCATTACCCAAGAATAAGGAAGATATCATAATTCCCATAGTTTAGGGTCCGTCCCTAGACCCTAAACCCTAAACCCCAAAACCCCTACTTATAGATCATCAACAGTATTCCGACCCCTTTTCCTCTCTGAGGGCCCCCGCCGTCCGCTGTGCTTGCGCAGGGCCAACAAGATCCTGAAAGCGGGCGCTGGGTTTAGTGAGGGCTTAGGGCTTAGGGCCCCTAAAGGTTTGGGGCTAGGGCTTAGGGCTTACAGTAGAGGGCTTAGGCTTTAGGGGTAAGGATTTAGGGGTCAGGGTTTAGGGGTTAGGGGTTTGGGTTAGGATTTAGGGTTTAGGGTTTAGGGGTTTGGGTTTAGGGTAGAGGGCTTAGGGTTTACAGTAGAGGGTTTAGGGTTTAGGATTTAGGGGTCAGGGTTTAGGGGGTTGGGTTTAGGGTTTAGGGGCTAGGGTTCAGGGTTTGTAATGATAGTTCTGTCGAGCAATAGTGTTGCGGGCAAACACAACAACACCGGCAACAACAGTCATAGTCGCGGCTGTTGTCATCGTAGAGATCGTAGTAGTCGTCGTCATAGTACGGTGGTGGTACCGGTCGTGGCAGTAGTGGTCGTCGTCGCTGGTGCAATGAAGTGCAAAATCGAGCACTAGCACTAGTAGAAGTAGTATTGCAACTGCTATGAGAAGCTAGTACAACTGCTACCACACTGCCAGTTTTACTATTGTTACCAGCCAATTACTCATGGTCATACTACTGCGGCAAATCTTAGAGGGAGAGGAAGAGAGGGCGAGAGAGAGAGGGAGAGTGTTTCCAACTTCCGCATAAAAAAACACAGGATTCAGAGCAAAAGCGACATCAAGGATACGACGAAGAAGACCCACACCGACATAACAGCATGACCAACAACGACTTATTTCCATCAACTCATCGGCTTCTCTGCCTGGAGACGTCGGCGCTTAAGAGCCGCACTGCGTAGCACCTCCTGTGGGCTAGCCGCTAGTCGTTTGGGCTTCGGAAGCTTTTAGATATTATGCGGACTTGAAAGGTCAGTGGATCGGGTGTTGCACACAGCAGGGTCATGGTCCTCCACACAGTGCAGCTCGTGCAGCAGGAATTGCCTTGTCAGCGCCAGACAGTCAAGCAGTGCGTGCATATAACGAACTTCTTGCGACTGCAGCTTCACCTTGACTGCACGTGCTGCCGCGTTGCAAGCCATCAGAAGCATCAGAGCTGACCTCCCATGCAGCTCGCAGAACTGTTGATAGTAGCCACGGCAGCAAAGACGTTTTACTTCCTAGATACAACAATCCGAACCGCATATATCAAGTCAATTCAATCACGTCGAGCGGTGTTTGCAATCTTTTCTCTGGGATAGCGGCTCGCTGCAGGACGAGCTCGTCCATGGTGGTGTCTAGCTGCACCCTGAGCACCTGACATTCCCAAAACCCTAAATCCTAAACGGTTTGAGGTTTAGGGCTGTCTTTCATCATGTGCTTATCCCCGCCGTGTCCGAGGGTACGAAACTGTTCAGAAGGACGATCAGGCCGTCGCTGTCGAGGAATCGAATCCGGTGAGCCGGAACCTGTGCCCAATCAGGGACAGAGGCATCATCTAATCTAACGTAGAGGCCTGATTACGTGTCCAGCGCCCTGAAGGAGGACTATACGTGGCACGCCCATTATATAGCTCTTAACGGAAGATGGTTTCATGTAAAGGGGTCTGCAATTCTGCCCCGTCCAACCTCACCAATCTGGAGCACTTCCTGGACAAAGCCCAAGAGTTCCTCACGGCTTGTTCCGCGAAAGAACTTCAACGGATAGCGGCTTCCGCCGTACCTCGCCGCTGACAAGTTCCGCTCCGGACAGAAAGAACGAATACTTGCTAGAGGCTACCAGGCTGCCCATAGGCCCCTAAGTCGTTCCTTTTTGGAATTACCTTATAGGATTCTAAATATGAACCACAAAAAGGAACTACTTGGGGAAATATGGGTAGAGGCTAGAGCCAAGTGCATCACCTGCTGCAATTGCGCCGAGGCTCAGCAATGTGATTGCCACAGGCTCGCGCGTCTGTGACATCGCATGGCCGGTTCGACAGAAAAGGACATGACGCCGATGATCTTGAACGCAGTATACATTTGTTAACTAACGCCTACTACACCTAGTGCTGTCAAATATGCACACCCGTTTGTATCCGTTTGTTTTCGAGAAGCTTAGACGGGTGTCACAATCTAAGGGTGCAAGTTGATCCATGGCTCTGCTTGATGACCTCAGGACATCCAAGCCACAAGGACGTACACACATCATTTCAACAGCGAAGTGCTCAGGGTTTCGGGTCTTGGGGCGCGAAGAAGCACAAGCATCATGTAACCCTAAACCCTAAACCCTAAAACCCTAAAACCCTAAACCCTAAACCGTAACGTAATCAGCGATTGTTGCTCTTCGAAGGTCCAAGCAGGTCCAAGCAAAGCTGTGCACGGGCCCGGGCACAGCGGCGCACCGGGGCAGTCAAGTCCATCCTGAGCCACGGTTTAGGGTTTTAGGGTTTGGCTTTAGGGTTTTAGGGTTTAGGGTTTAGGGCTTTAGGGTTTTAGGGTTTAGGGTTTAGGGTTTTAGGGTTTAGGGTTTAGGGTTTGTGCAAAAGTACATATACGCCTATGTAGATAGCTAGATATGTAGGTACGCAAGCACCCATGTTTGCATGTAACGTCTATACATGTATGCATGCGTGCATATAATATCTATAGACACACACGCATTCGCAGAAAGCAAAACACATACAGTACACGACTGTGTGTATATATATATATGTACACATGCATAGACTCGCACAGAGCGAGAGAGAGAGAGAGAGATGCACACATGCACATACAAGTGGACTGATGGATCGATAGATATGTACGTATGTAGGTATACAGATAAGTTACTATACCAGGAGCAGTAATTATGACAGTATTGATAAACATAAAAAGTACTGATATGCCCTATACTGATAGTGTTCGTAGCAATGAGAATGAGAGAATGTCGACACGGTAATGTAGACATGCACACGTGCACGCGTACATGTGTACATTCCGTCAAGCAGTTCCTACATACGATCACAAACACACACAGGAGCAAGACATGTAGAGCTCGAGTGTGCGCAACTGTATGGACGCTGAATCTTTGTGACATCACACTCCGGATGATTGATGCCCTCGCTGGTCGTGCTACCATGGCTACCATAATCTTGCGACTCATTCACCCTGATCCCTAAAACACTTTAACCCCGAAATCAATAAGAACAACTACGGCAAACGCTTGCTTCTTGTTGCTGGATGTGCTGGTCGGGCCTACATCCCACAAGTATCTCCGGGGGGGCGGCATTTTGAAGAAGCGTTGTTCCATTCAGGATATTGCCAGCGCTATCAGTTCCTCGCTTCCGGACTGCTGCCGGCAAGCACGAGATACTGCGTGGCTGTAGCCGGAAAACAATCGAATCCAATGACCGCTGCAACCAAAGAACCGAGAGCCTCAAGTAAAAACCTGCAGTTGCACCCACGATGCCCCAAACTCCAAATCCCACAACATTCCCGCACCCTTAGCTTCAAACTGTGAAACAAGGACCCTGCAATGATAAACCCCAGAAGCACTGAAGCTCAAACATGAGGACCGGGCCGATGCTGGCGGCCGCGGACGATGGCGGCGCGCGATGCCCGCCACCAGCTTCTGCCTGCCATAAACCGTTTGGCAAGGAAGAGCAAAAGTGAGCAAGTCAACGGTTTTCTGACGAGCTGCAACAATGGAGAAAACGACAGCAGTTCTATTGCTGGTTGGCTTCAATCTTCTGCTTTTGTAGCCTCGCTCTATCAGCACCACCACCAAAATCACCACCACCGCCGACGCCACTACGGCGAGGACTACGACTACGACTCGGACGACGATGACCACGATGACTACAACACTAAGTAACACAACTACAACAAAACCGCCACTTCAACTACAGCAACAACTGCCACTACCACTATCACTGCCACGACCACTGCTACTACTAGCTACAAACACAACAACAACTACTACTACTACTACTACTCCTCCTACTACTCCTACTACTCCTACTACTACTACTACTACTACTACTACTGCTACTGCTACCACCACCACTACGACTACTACGACTACTACTGCTACTACTAATACTACTACTACTACTACTACTACTACTACTACTACTACTACTACTACTACTAACTACTACTACAACTACAACTACAACTACAACAACAACAACTACTACTACTACTACTACTGCTACTACTGCTACTACTACGATTACGACTACGAATATTACCTATACGGATATAGTTGGTATTCTTTGTGTCCTTGAAAACTGAATGAAAGGGACACACGTGACGGCAAATAGAAAGGATACTGCTCATCGCGACAATACTATGGTGCTGATCAGAGTACTAAAGTAGTTGCATCTCGGGGCGAAGCAGCCGCGCTTGGAACAGAGCATACCACCTGTAGTCTCCATTGTAGTTCCTTTTTTGGTTAAACTAGTTTTGTATTAAGGATCCTAAAAGGTAACCCCAAAAAGGAACTACAATGGAGACTATAGGTAGTGGCCAATAGAAATGTGGAGCCTTCTACACTGCCAGGCTTGAAGCATAACTCTTCGACAGTGACAAGTTTCCTGAGCTCCGCACGGATGAGCCTGTCGACCTCGCCAACAAGGGATCTAGCATTAGAAGCTATTAGGTGTAGACGGAACGCCACGCAAGTCCATTTTCGACTCCGACCTCAACAAACAAGTCCCCATCTGCCGGGAGTGCAGGCACATAGTTCTCCTGAAGAGGCAGGAGGATGCTTCTGAGGTGTCGAAGCTCTCATATCTTTGCTTGCCCTAAACCCTAAACCCCTAAACCCTAAACCCTAAAATCTAAACTCTAAAACCCTAAAACCCTAAACCCTAAACTCCTAAACCCTAAAACCCTAAACCCACAGAGTGCTTCCAGGACACGAGAGGCAGCTGCCCAGAGAGCGCCCGCTCCGCTTCTTCGTCCGAAGCGGCGGCCCGGAGGGCTGCAAGCACCTGACACTTTTTGGGGTCCCCTGTTAGGGTTCCGGGTTTTACGGTCCCCTTTTGGGGTTTAGGGTTTAGAGGGTTTAGGGTTTTAGGGGTCCCCTTTTAGGGTTTAGGGAAGTTTAGGGTTTTAGGGTCCACTGTTAGGGTTTAGGGTTTAGAGGGTTTAGGGTTTAGGGTTTGTTAGGGTCCCCTTTTAGGGTTCAGGGTTCAAAGGCGAGTCCCGCGTTTTAGGGTTTAGGGACCGATTGCAGGCTTGAGAAGACCTAGGAGCATCTTGTGTGAGATGTCTCTGGCTAGGACGGCAAGACGGGGCTATTGCACTATTAGCCTGTCCAGGTGCTGCGGATTGCACTAGGCTGCCCTTGCCATCAAATTCTTGCCGATCCAAATTCAGTCCATGTCTCTCATCTTTCCTAACGCTCTGTGAACGTCCCAACATAGGGACCCAACAGAACTGGCCCCATGTCAATGTAGCTTCGATGATGACGGTGAGGGTGATGATCGTGAGAGATGGCTAGTGAAATGGTGACGATCCATGTTTGGCGATGATAAGGTTGCTGCTGCTGCCGGTGCTGATGCAGCTGACGATGCTGATGATGCTGGTGATGATAAACGTGAAGACGAGGAAACCCTTGATGCTGACAATGACGACTGCTTGTTGACGAGGAAGATGAAGACGGATTCTGATAGTTGGCACGGTGCTGAAGATGATGATGGTGAGGTCGACGACGACGACGATAGTGGCGGCGATGATGAGGGTGACAGTGATGAGGACGATGATGATGATGATGATGGTGGCGATGATGATGAGGAGGGTGGCGATGATGAGGGTGACGGTGATGATGATGGTTGTAAATAACGACGATCAGGATGATGATGCTGGTGATGATGATGATGATGATCGCGGTGCTGACGATGGTGCATGATGGTAGTGATGATGATAACGAGTATGAAAAGATTAGACTCATGATATCTGATTATGCTTGTCTGTGGTGGAACTGCTGCTGATGGTGCCAAAGCTGGTGCTGATGGTCGCGTCGGTCATAGGCCATGATGGAAATGCGGATGCTGATCGTAATCATATGTAACCATCATAACCCAGAAGCAGTTATGGCAAGAATGATCATGCTGCCACTGATGATGATGGCGATGAAGATCTTGATATCATGGTCAGATAGATGATAATTGTGACGATAGTGCGGCCCAGCAGAGCTCCGCAGTGCCTTCCACTGCCAGGCATGCACATCGATTTGCGGAGGTGCTGCTGGTGCCTGTCACATGACTCAGCAATGAATATGATGGACTACCAGATTACGCCACCTACTTTGTGAAAGACTGCTTGTCCACGCAATTAGGTCATGGCGAGAAGATATCTACATGCAAACGTAATTAAAGTGTCTTGTGCCGCACGCCTTCGGAGGGTTTACCCAGGCGGTAAGGTTGAAACCGTTTTCAGGGGTGCTCTTTCCTGCCACCCCGCCTTGGAAGATGCAGAAAGGTCTGCTTTGCTCTTGCCTGCCTTGCCCCTTCTCGGCTCGGGCTCGAGCTCGCCCGAGGCAATCAGTACCAAAGTCAGCAGGGAAATCGCACAACCCATGGCACGGGGTGCAGAAACTCGGATGCTTCTGCACTCTTTAGCGACTTAGGGGTCCTCATGAGATGAAGAATCGTAGCCAGTAGTAATGGTGAAAGTAGTGAAGAGATAGTAGTGATAATATGCCATCTCTTGAAGGGGTGCTGGCTGATCGGAAAAGCAAAACATCACTCTGAGTGCAGACTGTCTGCAGTCTTACGAGTGCCCAAGCCAAGATCGGCTGGCGAAGCATGCAGATTCAGTAGGACAGAGCATTTTATGCAGTCATCATGCATCGTAGCCTTGCTCCAAAACCAACTCGCGAGATGCTTGACACTTAGCGCCGTGCACCGGACAGACCATCTGGAACTTACTGCTTGTCTGTGCCTAGTGTGCACTTGCCTGTCTCCTTTATCTTGAGGGCCCAGAGGCTCTTGTAATGAAGCGAACTTGCACCCGCGCTCATTTTGTAGTACACTGAACGCTAGGCTCGTGGACAGGCTCTCAAAGTCCATCTTGCAGAAATCGCTGACGGTAGCTCCTGCAGACTTTCTCATGGCCAAATTCACACTTTCCCGGATCTTCACGGTCCTGTGCAGGTGCGTCGCGTAGCAGATGAGAGTGCAGCCCAAAAGCACTGCGGCCTCGGCATTTATGTTCACTCAGAACAGAGATGATGAGAGACAGCATCTTCGGCCCGGACAACGGAAACGATGGTGGCTCGCATGGGATATTGCTCTTTGACCACCTGACGGTTCTCGAGACAACATCATTGTTGTTGATATTCTTGCTATTGCTATGACTATTATGACTACTGTTCTACTCCTACGGCAAGCTACACTTGTTATTCTTTTTGTTGTTATCACTATGATTAGTGGCAGTCGTCGTCGTAGTAGTAGTAGTAGTAGCAGGAGGAGGAGGAGGAGGAGGAGGAGGAGGAGTAGTATTAGTATTCGAAATAGTCATCATAATAGCAATGTGAGGATTACTGTTTCATGATTATTCTTCAGATTATTTGCTCCTATTTTATTGAAGGCAAAGGCCATCCAGGTCCACCCAGCCTTGCCCACGTGCTTGGCGATGCTTTTGATGTTATCCCCGGCGCAGCTCTCCTCTTCTCAAGAGGGCTTCATGCGACTTCGCGCGCAGGCATCGGTACACCATGTCAAGGTTTAGAGATTCGGGTGTCGGGTCGTTTTTCGGAGCCTTCCCAAAGCTCAGAGATAAGCCCAACTCCTTGTAACCCGGGGGTGCCGCCATCCCTCCGATGCAAGGCCTGGCAAGGCACAGCACATGGGTGACTATCAGCAGCCCGACCTCTCAAAGGGCAGAGTCCGAGGGGAGCCTCATCAGCTTGAAGGTGACGAAACGCATCTGCTCTTCGTCACACTTACCGAGCTGAGCTCCCTCAGGCGGAAGATGCACAGCTTTTCGGCCCCCTGGGCTTCGCCTTAGGGCGCTTATCTTATCTTTCGGATTTTAGGGCCCTGACGAAGTCTTGCGCTTGGCAGGGCGGGCATGCCATCACCGTGGGCCTCTGGGCTGTCAACTTCTCTCGCACTGGCTCTGCGCTGCTCCGACGGCCAGGGGCCCCCACCACTGCAACTCCAGCATCCCGCAAACTGCATAGGGCTCAAAGGCGCCGATGGGCCGTTCTGGTGGCAGAAACACCGCAGTATAAAGAAGATTGTTGCAGGCTGCTCTGAACCTCAAGATTTGAAGCTTTCGGGCACCTCAAACTCTTTCTGCTATCACGCGGCCTGCGAGTCGGAGGTGTTCCAGGTGTGCGTTTCCTTTGCAGAACCCATACATTAATCTGATTCCTTCTGAGGCTGTCGACCCGTCCGACCTGCCGCATCGCTCCGCGCCGGTGGCTCAGGTATCCGCGCGGCAGTGTCGCAACGAAGAAGGAGCGAAAATCCTGACAACGCCTCGCAGCTTCAGATCGTCTGTGTTTGTTCCGCATGTTCTGCTTTGCTGTCTCGCATGGTTTGCCAACCTCGGCCGACATCGTTGCCGCATCCGGGCACAGCACAGCCATTTTCGGTTGAAGCTGCAAGCTCGCCTCCTGCAAAGTAGTAGTAGTAGTAGTA